CAAAGGCTGCAAAAATAACTCAGGTAAAAGGACCTTCGGGTAAGCATCATACCGAGAACATCTGAGGCTCACATCAATCAAATAACTGCTACAGCATATAGGCGCCTCACAAACGAAAGAATAGCGTTTCGATATCTAAGTAAGAAGACATTCACGACACTGTACATCGTGTACGTAAGGTCCATATTGGAGTATACAGCACAAGTATGGAACCCACAACTGGTCAAACACGTCATGAAACTGGAAAAAGTACAAGAGTTTGCAACAAGACTAGTACCGGAGCTAATGAGTATGTCCTACGAGGAGAGATTAAGGAAAATGACGCCACTGGAGGACACGAGGGATAACAGTGAACATGATAACGACATATAAAATAAAGAGAGGAATTGGCGCTGTGGACAGGGCCAGAATGTTTCAGAGATGGAACACAGGAACAAGGGTGAGAACTGAAAGTTAACAACTCAAATGAGTCATAGTTATGTTAGGAAATGTTTCTTCAGCGTCAGAGTTGTCAGGAAGTGGAACACTCTGGAGAGTAAAGTAGTGGAGGCAGCATCCATTCATATCTTTATGATGTACGATAAGGCTGTTGGGGCAGGGAGAGTATACCTCATAGCGAATGGGTGGGACCAGGAGCTGTAACTCGACCTCTGCAACACATACACAGCCAGGACCTACTATATATAGGCGAGTACACACATACACACACACACATATACACACACACACACACACACACACACACACACACACACACACACACACACACACATACACACATACACACACACACACACACACACACATACACACACACATACACACACACACACACACACACACACACACACACACACACACACACACAACACACACACACACACACATACACACACACACACACACAACACACAACGCACACACACACACACACACTGCCCCTTGACAACAGCTAAATCACTTGTCAATATCCGCTACTTTAAGTTAGTGATGGACGGTAATAATATTTTGTTAGAGAAATTATTGACCATAGAAATCCTGCCAGATGACTGTGAAACAGAAACCTGTAACTGTTTTGCATGATGGTAGGATTGCTGGTTTCTTTTTCTGTCTCATAAACACGCTAGATAACAGGGATATCTTGCTACTCCTACTTACACTTTGGTCACACTTCACAAACACGCACATGCATATATATATACATACATCTAGGTTTTTCTCCTTTTTCTAAATAGCTCTTGTTCCTCTTTATTTCTTCTATTGTCCATGGGGAAGTGGAAAAGAATCTTTCCTCCGTAAGCCATGCGTGTCGTATGAGACGACTAAAATGCCGGGAGCAATGGGCTAGTAACCCCTTCTCCTGTAGACATTTACTAAAAAAGAGAAGAAGAAAAACTTTATAAAACTGGGATGCTTGAATGTGCGTGGATGTAGTGCGGATGACAAGAAACAGATGATTGCTGATGTTATGAATGAAAAGAAGTTGGATGTCCTGGCCCTAAGAGAAACAAAGCTGAAGGGGGTAGGGGAGTTTCGGTGGGGGAAAATAAATGAGATTAAATCTGGAGTATCTGAGAGAGTTAGAGCTAAGGAAGGGGTAGCAATAATGTTGAAGATCAGTTATGGAAGGAGAAAAGAGAATATGAATGTGTAAATTCAAGGATTATGTGGATTAAAGTAAAGGTTGGATGCGAAAAGTGGGTCATAATAAGCGTGTATGCACCTGGAGAAGAGAGGAATGTAGAGGAGAGAGAGAAAGAGAGATTTTGGGAGATGTTAAGTGAATGTATAGGAACTTTTGAACCAAGTGAGAGAGTAATTGTGGTAGGGGACCTGAATGCTAAAGTAGGAGAAACTTTTAGAGAGGGTGTGGTAGGTAAGTTTGGGGTGCCAGGTGTAAATGATAATGGGTGTTCTTTGATTGAACTTTGTATAGAAAGGGGTTTAGTTATAGGTAATACATATTTTAAGAAAAAGAGGATAAATAATTATATGACGTAGGGCGAAATGACAGTAGTTTGTTGGATTATATATTGGTAGATAAAAGACTGTTGAGTAGACTTCAGGATGTAGATGTTTATAGAGGGGCCACAAATATATCAGATCACTTTCTAGTTGTAGCTACACTGAGAGTAAAAGGTAGATGGGATACAAGGAGAATAGAAGCATCAGGTAAGAGAGAGGTGAAGGTTTATAAAATAAAAGAGGAGGCAGTTAGGGTAAAATATAAACAACTATTGGAGGATAGATGGGCTAATGAGAGCATAGGCAATGGGGTCGAAGATGTATGGGGTAGGTTTAAAAATGTAGTGTTAGAGTGTTCAGCAGAAGTTTGTGGTTACAGGAAAGTGGGTGTGGGAGGGAAGAGGAGCGATTGGTGGAATGATGATGTAAAGAGAGTAGTAAGGGAGAAAAAGTTAGCATATGAGAAGCTTTTACAAAGTAGAAGTGACGCAAGGAGGGAAGAGTATATGGAGAAAAAGAGAGAGGTTAAGAGAGTGGTGAAGCAATGTAAAAAGAGAGCAAATGAGAGAGTGGGTGAGATGTTATCAACAAATTTTGTTGAAAATGAGAAAAAGTTTTGGAGTGAGATTAACAAGTTAAGGAACCCTAGAGAACAAATGGATTTGTCAGTTAAAAATGGGAGAGGAGAGTTATTAAATGGAGAGTTAGAGGTATTGGGAGGATGGAGGGAATATTTTGAGGAATTATTAAATGATGAAGATAGTGAAGCTATGATTTCGTGTATAGGGCAAGGAGGAATAACATCTTGTAGGAGTGAGGAAGAGCCAGTTGTGAGTGTGGGGGAAGTTCGTGAGGTAGTAGGTAAAATGAAAGGGGGTAAGGCAGCTGGGATTGATGGGATAAAGATAGAAATGTTAAAAGTAGGTGGGGATATAGTTTTGGAGTGGTTGGTGCTATTATTTAATAAATGTATGGAAGAGGGTAAGGTACCTAAGTATTGGCAAAGAGCATGCATAGTTCCTTTGTATAAAAGCAAAGGGGACAAAAGAGAGTGCAAAAATTATAGGGGGATAAGTCTGTTGAGTATACCTGTTGAAGTGTATGGTAGAGTTATTATTGAAAGAATTAAGAGTATGACGGAGAATAGGATAGCAGATGAACAAGGAGGTTTTAGGAAAGGTAGGGGGTGTGTGGACCAGGTGTTTACAGTGAAATATGTACGTGAACAGTATCTTGATAAGGCTAAAGAGGTTTTTGGGGCATTTATGGATTTGGAAAAGGTGTATGACAGGGTGGACAGGGGGGCAATGTGACAGATGTTGCAGGTATATGGTATAGGAGGTAGGTTACTGAAAGCAGTGAAGAGTTTTTTACGAGGATAGTGAGGCTCAAGTTAGAATATGTAGGAAAGAGAGAGATTATTTCCTAGTAAAAGTAGGCCTTAGACAAGGATGTGTGATGTTACTGTGGTTGTTCAATATATTTATAGATGGGGTTGTAAGAGAAGTAAATGCGAGGGTCTTGACAAGAGGCGTGGAGTTAAAAGATAAAGAATCACACATAAAGTGGGAGTTGTCACAGTTGCTCTTTGCTGATGACACTGTGCTCTTGGGAGATTCTGAAGAGAAATTGCAGAGGTTGGTGGATGAATTTGGTAGGGTATGTAAAAGAAGAAAATTAAAAGTGAGTACAGGAAAGAGTAAGGTTACACAAATAACCCGCACATAAAAGACAGAAGCTTACGACGACGTTTCGGTCCGACTTGGACCATTGACAAAGTCACACAGTGTGACTTTGTCAATGGTCCAAGTCGGACCGAAACGTCGTCGTAAGCTTCTGTCTTTTATGTGCGGGTTATTTGTGTATCGTTCCAGTCACGGTATTGTGCCTTTTTGTTATTTAAGAGTAAGGTTATGAGGATAACAAAAAGATTAGGTGATGAAAGATTCGATATCAGATTGGAGGGAGAGAGTATGGAGGAGGTGAATGTATTCAGATATTTGGGAGTGGACGTGTCAGCGGATGGGTCTATAAAGGATGAGGTGAATCATAGAATTGATGAGGGGAAAAGGGTGAGCGGTGCACTTAGGAGTCTGTGGAGACAAAGAACTTTGTCCTTGGAAGCAAAGAGGGGAATGTATGAGAGTATAATTTTACCAACGCTCTTATATGGGTGTGAAGCATGGGTGATGAATGTTGCAACGAGGAGAAGGTTGGAGGCAGTGGAGATGTCATGTCTGCGGGCAATGTGTGGTGTGAATATACTGCAGAGAATTCGTAGTTTGGAAGTTAGGCGGAGGTGCGGGATTGCCAAAACTGTTGTCCAGAGAGCTGAGGTAGGGTTGTTGGGGTGGTTCGGACATGTAGAGAGAATGGAGCGAAACAGAATGACTTCAAGAGTGTATCAGTCTGTAGTGGAAGGAAGGCGGGGTAGGGGTCGACCTAGGAAAGGTTGGAGGGAGGGGGTAAAGGAGGTTTTGTGTGCGAGGGGTTTGGACTTCCAGCGGGCATGCGTGAGCGTGTTTGATAGGAGTGAATGGAGACAAATGGTTTTTAATACTTGACGTGCTGTTGGAAAGTGAGCAAAGTAACATTTATGAAGGGATTCAGGGAAACCAGCAGGCCGGACTTGGGTCCTGGAGATGGGAAGTACAGTGCCTGCACTCTGAAGGAGGGGTGTTAATGTTGCAGTTTAAAAACTGTAGTGTAAAGCACCCTTCTGGCAAGACAGTGATGGAGTGAATGACGGTGAAAGTTTTTCTTTTTCGGGCCACCCTGCCATGGTGGGAATCGGCCAGTGTGTTAATAAAAAAAATGAATAAAATATAGAAATCATAAGAGAGAGAAAGTTGCCTGAACAAGTAACTGTGTATTATATATAGACAATAGCATTTGGTATCTATTAGCACTAGCGATGCAGTCATTCAATTCTACAGCTTAGGGTATCAACTCTTCCAAGATCATCTCAGTCACTCAGGTTAAAATTATTATTCGTGGCTAAACTATTGTCCAACGTAGACAGGAGAGAATTTGACCTTGTTGTCGTCCATGAGGGTATTGAGAGACTCAATCCACATGGGATCAATGTCACCGTCCAGGATGATCCACTTGGGAGCCTCGCCAGGCATGTTAGCTTGGTCGCGCATCAGACTCGAAAACAGACCTGCCGGAACACAGGAAAAAGAACGTAAAATATTCTGGCCAATTACCAGCAATGCCTACATAAGCTTGCGGAATTGAAGAACAGTTTTAGTGTCTCTCAACCACCTACACTCATACTCTCTATGCTAGAAGGATAACTACAACAGAGGGAAAACAAGTTTAATTCGCTGGCATCAAAGTTCAAAGAAGATTTTTCAAGGCTACATTTTCATATTGGCAGCAGAATCCATCTGTGAGACTTCAGCATCTGTCTCTGGGGAGAAGCGTCTGTATTTGTATATTTAGCTTGTCTCTGGAGAGCAGTACGTGTCTTAGGCGAGCTATTCTGTCTCTGTGACACTGGCTTCTATATGTGGGAAAAACTATGTGTCTCTGGAGAGCAACATCTAACTCTGGGAAATAACATATCTCTACAGTGATGAATCTCTCATTGTGAACTGGCGTATCTTCCTCCCATTCCCTCGCGACTATGTTGCCTTACCATTATTTAATTCCCTGATAGTTAGGTAATATAATCGTCTTTCTACTCCCCTGTGGCAAAGTTATCCTACTGTGCTCCAGTTCCTGGTGAGTAGCTTATCTTACCGTCCTTCCACTCCCTGGTGGCTGGGTTGATGTAGCCGAAGAGTTCGTCCCTGGTGACGGCCTTAGGGTTAAGGTCGAAACAAATGGGTTTCTTTTTCATGTTGAGCATGGTCCTGAAGAGTGTACGCCACACCTGGGTCTTGCCCGTGCCTGCCTGCCCGATGATGAACACACTGTGACGTACCTCCAGCAGCTCCTTCAGCTGCACCACCTGTCAACAGTACTCGTACTCAGTCCTTTGTTAAAACTTACGGAAAACACACAAACATCAAATTTAGGAATACTAACTTAGCAAGATGAGCTGTAGTATGTACTCCTGCCGTTAATATTGGCAAAAACAAATATTGTTACTGACGTGTGGAGTAGTTCTCATAAGTTTTCGTTAGCTGTTGTTGGAAAGTTTTCCACAGTTTTCTCAATCAAAATCATTATGCAGTAATGTACATCCCCCCCCCTCACACACTGCTGTACAGCCACGTCAGAAGGAAGACAACAGTCAAAGACCAGGTGATCAGGCTGAGGAAAGAAGGTAGGGAACTCACAAGTAACGATCACGAGGTATGCGAGGAGTTCAACATGATATTTAAGGAAGTATTTACAGTAGAAACTGGAATGGCTCCAAGAAGACAGCACAGAGGGGAACACCAACAGGGAATATACCAACAGGTGCTGGATGACATACAAACAACAGAGAAGGAGGAGGTGCGGAAGCTGCTAAGTGACCTCGATACCTCAAAAGCGATGGGTCCAGAACATCTCCCCGTGGGTCCTTAGAGAAGGAACAGGGCTGCTGTGCTTGCCACTAACCATAATCTTCAATACATCCCTTGAAACTGGGCAACTACCTGAGGTATGGAGCAGGGCAAATGTAGTCAACATTTTTAAGAAAGGAGACAGAAATGAAGCACTAAACTACAGACCAGTGTCTCTGACGTGTATAGAATGCAAAGTCATGGAGAAGATTATCAGGAGGAGAGTGGTGGAGCACGAGGAACGAAACAAGATTATAAAGAACAACCAGCACGGATTCGTGGAAGGCAAATCCTGTGTCACAAACTTTCTCGAATTTTATTACAAGGTAACAGAAATAAGACACGAGATTGCATTTTCCTGGACTGCAGGAAGGCTTTCGACACGGTTCCTCACAGGAGATTAGTGCAGAAGCTGGAGGATCAGGCGCGTATAACAGGAAGGGCACTGCAATGGATCAGAGAATACCTGACAGGGAGGAAACAATGGGTCATGGTACGTGATGAGGTATCACAGTGGGCGCCTGTGACGTACGGGGTCCCACAGGGGTCAGTCCTAGGACCAGTGCTATTTTTGATATATGTGAATGACATGGTGGAAGGGATAGACTCTGAAGTGTCCTTGTTCGCAGATGTTGTGAAGCTAAAGAGAAGGATTAAATCGGATGAGGATCAGGCAGGACTACAAAGAGACCTGGACAGGCTGGACACGTGACCCAGCAACTGGCTTCTCGAATTCAACCCTGCCAAATGCAAAGTCATGAAGATTGGGGAAGGGCAAAGAAGACCGAAGACATAGTATAGGCTAGGTGGACAAAGGCTGCAAACCTCATTCAAGGAGAAAGATCTTGGGGTGACCATAACACCGAGCACATCTCCGGAGGCACACATCAACCAGATAACTGCTGCAGCATATGGGCACCTAGCAAACCTGAGAATAGCGTTCCGATACCATACTAAGGAATCGTTCAAGACACTGTACACTGTGTTTGTCAGGCCCATACTGAAATATGCAGCACCAGTTTGGAACCCACACCTGGTCAAGCACGTCAAGAAATTAGAGAAAGCACAACAAGGCTAGAAAAAGTGCAACAAGGCTAGTTCCGGAGCTCAGGGGAATGTCCTATTAAGAAAGGTGGAGGGAAATCGGACTGACGATACTAGAGGACAGGAGGGTCAGGGGAGACATGATAACAACATACAAAATAATGCGTGGAATAGACAAGGTGGACAGAGACAGGATGTTCCAAAGAAGGGACACAGAAACAAGGGGTCACAATTGGAAGCTGAAGACTCAGACGAGTCACAGGGATGTTAGGAAGTACTTCTTCAGTCACAGAGTCGTCAGGAATTGAAATAGCCTAGCAAGTGATGTAGTGGAGGCAGGAACCATACATAGCTTTAAGACGAGGTATGACAAAGCTCAGGAAGCAGAGAGAGAGGACCTAGTAGCGATCAATGAATAGACGGGACCAGGAGCTGAGTCTTGACTCCAGCAACAACAATTAGGTGAGTACAATTAGGTGAGCACAATTAGGTGAGTGCACGTACACACACACACACACACACACACCTTCCCCCCTCCCCCCACACTCTGACATACACACTACTAACCTAACACACAGAATTACATAGGTTTCCCACTCTGAGGCAATCAGGATAAAACAAAAATGGGTTGCCAGAGAGCAGGAAGGAGAACCAAGGAACAGGAGGAGGAAGCTGCAAAGGAAGATTGGGCAGCAGAGCTCATAAAAAGGGAACATGAATGGCAAAGGAAACTAGAAGAACTTAACATGAGAATGAAAGAGAGGACAGATATGGAAAGCAGGAAGTGGGAGGTGCAAGTCAAAGCAGCAGAGGCTAGGATACAGAGTTTAGAAGAGGAACTGAAAAATCTGAAACAGCCTAAAGAACTAAAGAACATTTTGGGATTGACATCAGAGACTGCTACCTCAGTCACAAATAGGAGGACTGGAGGGAAAGAAGGAGCAAAACTGCATGTAGAAGCTCTATCAGAGGAGACTGTAGTAAATAAAAGAGCTAAGCTATATGTGGAGGCCCTAACAGACCACAGCAGAGCCCAGGGAAAGTCGAGAAGGGAAAATGACAGGCCACTGAGCCCAAGTACATTAGCTAGCGAAACTGAAAAAAGGAAAGCTGCAATGGAGGAAATCAAATTGAATGAGGGGATACACAAGGATATGCAGTGGGAGAATGAAAGGGTGAGATCAGTTTTTGTGTATGGGCTCCAGGAAGTTGAAGGGAAAACATATGAAGCAAGAAAACAAGGGGAAAAAAAGCAATTGAAAGCATCATAAAAGCAATAGGAGAAGACGACATGACCCAGCTGGAAAATTTTCAGAGAATAGCGGGCTTTGTAAAAAAAAGAACCCAGCCAGTGAAAGTGACCTTCAAGGCAGAATCGACTTGGAACAGGATCCTGCAGGAGAAATCACGATTAAGGGACATGCCAGCATACAGGAAGGTGTATCTCGACCGCAACAGAACACAAGAAGAAAGGCAGAAACTGAGAGAGATGGTACAAAGGCAAAAGGAGGAAAGAGAGGGGATGGAGAAGACAGACAGGAGATCCCAGACCCAGGAAGAAGATCAAATACAGCCTCCCTCACAACTTCTTATAGAAGCCCCCCAACCAGGTCAACCCCAGTGCAACCAAACATTCTAAACCAAAACACCCATGCCACATCCAATGCCCCCACCCACTGCATTACAAACTCCATCCCCACAGCAACCACCCATAGTTCCTTATCAGGTCTCCCACTTCCCCAACCCCAATATACCTCCCAGACCACAGTCTTAGAAAAGAAGTTGAAGGTGTGGTATACAAATGCAGATGGAATAACAAATAAGTATGAGGAGTGGCATGAAAGAATCAAGGAGACATCCCCAGACATAATAGCACTCACAGAAACAATACTCAACAGAATAATAACAGATTCAATCTTTCCATCTGGATATCAAATCCTCAGGAAAGACAGAGGGAGGAGACGGGGAGAAGGAGATAAGATAAGATAAGATAAGATAAGATTTCGTTCGGATTTTTAACCCCGGAGGGTTAGCCACCCAGGATAACCCAAGAAAGTCAGTGCGTCATCGAGGACTGTCTAACTTATTTCCATTGGGGTCCTTAATCTTGTCCCCCAGGATGCGACCCACACCAGTCGACTAACACCCAGGTACCTATTTGCTGCTAGGTGAACAGGACAATAGGTGTAAGGAAACGTGTCGAAATGTTTCCACCCGCCGGGAATCGAACCCGGGCCCTCCGTGTGTGAAGCGGGAGCTTTAGCCACCAGGCCACCGGGCCACCCCAGGCCACCGGGCCACCGGGAGTTGCACTGCTCATTAAAAACCAGTGGAATTTTGAGAAAATAGTAGGATCAATCCAGTCTGAGGGACATAAGGTGATTATTGCAGTAATATACAACCCACCAAAGAACTGCAGGAGGCCAAGAGAAGAATACGATGAGAGCAACAGAGCAATGGTAGACATACCCGCCGAGGTGGCCAGGAGAGCACATATGGGGGGAGCAAAGTTACTAGTTATGGGTGATTTCAATCACAAGGAGACTGACTGGGAAAACCTGGAGCCCCAGGGAGGTCCCAAACATGAGAGAGCCAAGATGATGGATGTGGTACTGGAAAACCTCATGCATCGACATGTTAGAGACACTACCAGAGAGAGAGGAGAGGATGAACCAGCAAGATTGGACCTTGTATTCACCTTGAGTAGTTCGGACATCGAGGATATCATGTATGAAAGGCCCCTGGGAGCTAGTGATCATGTGGTTCTGTGCTTCGACTACATAGTTGAGCTCCAAGTGGAGAGAGTAGCAGGAACAGGTTGGGAAAAAAACAAACAACAAAAGGGGGAACTACTCAGGCATGAGGAACTCCTGCAAGACATTCAGTGGGAGAGGGAACTGACAGGAAAACCAGTACAAGAAATGATGGACTATGTGGCAACAAAATGCAAGGAGGCAGAGGAGAGGTTTGTTCCCAAGAGAGGCAGAAATAATGGTAAGAACAGAACGAGTCCTTGGTTCACCCAAAGGTGTAGGGAGGCAAAAACTAGGTGTTCTAGAGAATGGAAAAAGTACAGAAGACAGAGAACTCAGGAAAATAAAGAGATTAGCCGAAGAACCAGAAACGAATATGCACAGTTAAGAAGGGAGGCTCAGCGACAATATAAAAATGACTTAGTATCGAAAGTCAAGTCTGACCCGAAGCTGTTGTACAGCCACATCAGGAGGAAAACAACAGTCAAGGAGTAGGTAATCAGACTGAGGAAGGGTGATGGGGAGTTCACAAGAAACGACCGAGAAGTATGTCAGGAGCTCAACGCGAGATTTAAAGAAGTATTTACAGTGGAAACCAGTAGGACTCCAGGAAATCAGAACAGGGGGGTACACCAGCAAGTGCTGGATGAGGTGCATATAAC